ACAAAAATTTTAGCATATATGAACGATGTAGCTCTTTCAAGCTACAATATGACATCTCTTCAATTGGCTACCAATACTTTTTGCTCCTTTCTATCCCTCAACTCTATCAAATACAACAAAAACAAAACAGATCTTATCACAAACCTTAGCACAAAAAGTTCTAAAAAAAAGCAGTTCTTACTTATTGAAAACGAACAAATATTTCCTAAATGTCACAACAACTGTATCAAGTATCTTGGAATATATCTCTCTGACAAATCAACCACCTGATCCACCAAAGTAAAACTTTGTAAAAAAATCCATAACTTCTCAAATGCAATAGCTTCTCAAAAAGGTTGAAATGACCATATCACTTGTCAGGCATTACACTGGATCATACCAGCTCAACTCGAGTATGCTATAACAGCTGCAATTCCATCAAACAATGACATCAATATTCTACAAACAAATATGAACAAGTCTATCAAAATCAAGCTAGGCATTGAATACACTATTTCAAACAAAATCTCTTACTCACAGACAGGCCTTAATATCATCAAACTTCAAAACTGTAGAGACCTCACAACCATAAAAATTCTAGTTATTAAACTCATTAATCCTATCATACGACCTTCAACAATAAAAGAAATTCAATCAATTCAAGCCTCACACGTCATCTGGTACTGTCCCATATATCAACCACACTACTTCTCTGACTTATGGCTTATCACAGCAGCCATTCTTGCGAAAAGATACGAAATTAGAATTTGCTCTTACCTATGTCCTTTTAACCTTCAAAATCATGAGTACTCCATATGATTAATAACTAAACTTAACAAACTAATTGCTCTTTACCTCTCAAACTCCAACATCAAAACTATTTACAATACATACACCCTTAACAAAGGTTACAAACTCTTTTGGAACAAGTTACACACTTACAGAGGCTTTATAACCTGAGGTCCTATCTCATCATGATTCATCAACATCCCAGTTCGATCCAATGCCATTATCAGCAACACTACTTTTCTTCCTAATCCAAAAAGAAAATTCTGGACCTACCTGGACAACCAAACTATTAACCTAATTAAAACTAGATCAAATGCACTTCCAGCAATCTTAATAATAGGCCAACACTACATAATCGATAACCAAAAAAGACTTTACAAATGTTCGTGTCCTATTCAACCTTGCCTCAAAAAAAAAACATTGAAAATCTCAAGTCAATCTGGTCCATCATATGACTTAACACTCCTTATATTCTTAACAACCTAAATGAACTTAAGGACTCCTTTCACCTCATTCCACAAGCAACCCCACAGGTTACTATTATTATCAATACTTAACACAATTTGCAATGCTTATCCATATTTTCCCTAGCAACAATAACAATCTAGTTGTTTTAAATCTTAATACTATAACACAATACATAACAAACACAAACTTCTGGTCTGCCTTCTGGCCAATACTTTATCAAGTTATAGATAACATCTCTCAATCATCTACTATTAAAATATATTTAAACAACATACCTGACCTATCAGTGCCTGATTATATAAACAGGCGAATCAAAATCCCATACAGCCATTTCATTAGCAACTTCAACGACATCACCAAATCAAAAAACCTAACTACATACTGGTTTAAATTCAAAAATGAACAGTCTCCACCACACGATACCACATCAATAACAACAATACCTTCGCTAATTTCCTTTTTAACACACACAACCTCCCTGCTAATCAATAACAAGCATGCTACCAGCATAGTCCACTGGATAAAGTTTATCAACTTTTACACAAATCTATTTGACACCCTGCTAAGTCAAATTTCATGTTTTAGATCTTCAACATTTCTTGATCTTGAAACTATCATTAAAGCCAACAGAAAACTAAAAAAACTGGACCAACTTAAGTATAGAGTCTTATCTACTTTCAGAACCAAAATCATAGCCAATCAGCTCCTCACCAGATCAAAATTAAACAGAAGATATCCCAGCTTATATATTGATGACATTTGTTCCAAGTGCAAAGCTTTCACTAAGGACATTCCACATGTTTTCTCTTATATACACAACCACTCTCTTATTAATAAAAAAAAATCCAAACTACAAAAACTTATTCTCGAATCTAATAATAAAAACTCAACAATGGCAAATCTGAGGGACATATCCAATTTATCAAGTCAGGATCTAATTCATCTCGCCACATGCAACTATCAGCTCCACCTCAATTACATTTAAAAAAGAAGGGAGAAAATCTTTAATTATGCTCTAAAAATTCTTTATAAAGCTTGGAAACAATGATCTGCAACCTCAACAACTTCATTATTCTTAGGAATCACATAGAGGAAAATACTAAATGTCACCCTCAATAATAATAACAACTTAACAAAAAACAACAATTCAGCATTTACCAAAGTACTTAATACATTACAAAATTCAAACAATTTCACTAACAAACAAATATTTACTTCAGCAATAATTTCATCATTCTGAATAGACATTAGTTATTCAGCACTATCTATATACATTTACCTACTTGGTAAAAATTTGTGTAGTTAGTTCAAGTTGCAATAGGCTATAATTAATTTGTACTCTTCTTTAAAGTCTCGCATTTAATGCCTGTTTGTGATTAAAAAAAAAAAATAAATAAAATAAATTATGAATGAAAAAATAATTAAAATAATTATTTAAAAAATCAAAAAAAATTATTTAATTAATAAGAAATTTCAAGAAGTTTTTAATATTATATAAATTAAATTTATAAAAAAAATTGCATTTTTATTTTATAAAAATAATTTATAAAAAATTTTAAATTTGAATTTTAATATAAATTTTAAAAAAATCTTATATTTTGTATCAAATTTTTGATAAATTTCTTTAATTAAAAAATTAAATAAGCAACTTAAAATTTAATGAAAATTGTTTTTTAATTAATTTTATTCTTATTTTACAAATTGATAAATTAAAACTATTATAAATAATTTATTTATTTATTTATTATAATGTAATTAAATCAATATATTTTAAAAAATTTTGTTTTAATATAATAATAAATAACAATAAATTTCAATAATACATTAATAAAAACCTATTAAATAAAAATTTTTTTCATATTATTAATAATATATATTTGAATTTTTATTTTATTTTATCACTTATTTATTAAATTGTGAATAAAAATATAAATTGAAAATTTGTTTAAAGACTTTTTAGACAAACTGTATATATAAAATTATAAATAAAAAAGTGAATTAATTTAAATAAATTTTATAATTACTTAATTGAAAATAAATAATTTAATAAATTATATATACTATTAGTATTTTTTATTTTTTTAAAAAAAAATTTAATAATATCTATATAATAAATAATAATAATTTTATTGTTTATAATTTAAAAATATTTATAAATGTAAAGTTAAATGATTTATAAACAACTTTATTTAATAATATTTTAATTAATATATTAATATTTTTTAAAATAATTTAATTTTTATAACACAAAATTTAAACAATTTTTTTATTTACTTTTTATATATATTTAAAAAGTAATTAGAAATAGATAAAAAAATTTTGTTAAATATTTATATATAAAGTATATAATTATTTAATAAATTAATAAAATTAAATTAAAAATAATAATTTTTTTAAAAATTTTTTTTAATAATTCTATTTTCAAATCAAATTTTTTGATAATAATTTTAATTTTAAAGATAAAATATAATCAAAAATTATTATTATTATTTTAAAATTATTTAATTATTTATTGGATTATTAATTAAAATATAATTATATAAAAAAAGAATAATCATTTTTCATTATATTTTACATTTATTATAAATTATTTATTGGATTATTAGTTAAAATATAATTATATAAAAAAAGAATAATCAAATTAACTGATTTTTTTTTTATCATGAACAAGCATTAAATGCAAGACTTTATTTAAATAAAAATATTTACTGTCATTATATTCAAATTATTTAATTTTTATGATTTCATATTTATATCATATATAAATAATTTAATTACAAAAAAAAATCATAAAAACTTAAATATATAGTTTTATTAAACTCAAAAGACAAGATAATAACTTGGGTTTTTGCAAAAGAAAGAAATTCTTTAAATAATTAATATATATATATAAATATTGTAAAAATATATAAAGTATATAATAAAAAAAATCATCTAATTAATACAAATATTAATTTTTATGAAATTTATACATACAATTTATATTTGTAATAGTTCATTTTGATTTAATAAATAAACGACACCAACCTGATTGAGAGAAAAAAAAAAAAAACCAAATATTGATTTTTATATAACTTTTTAAATTATATATATACTGGATTTTTATAGTACTGTATTATATTGTATTTTAAAATAATTACAAATATTATTGTGTTAATCAACAATTTTAATATTTAATTTTTAATAATTTATTTTTATTTCAAATATTGTATGTTTTAATGATTAACCTTGTGCTGTTGTCGTGTCATTGTCACGAGAATTCAGTCACGTGCTATTCTAGAACAAAAAAAACCGTGAATGGGCCAATTAAAGACTAATTAAACTTCAATGGGGATTTCTCTCGCAACAAACACGCAAACAAAGAGAAAACATTTCAGAGAACAATATGGCTTGGGATTTTCGTGCTGCACCAATGTTTTCAGACTGCTAGTTTTTAGCAAGAAGGCTCATGTTTGACCAGTATTTGATTTTCGGTTTGCTATAGGACTCGAAATAGCAGCTATTTTTCTAAAAAAAAGTACCCTGATCGGGACTATGTTCCTTTTTAGCATTAGCACCCGAGTATATATGTATATCATGCATGATAAATCAATAAAGGTTGAACGTATAAATGCGTAGAGTCATGTGTCAATTCAAAAAAATTTTTTTGTTTATTTATTCTCCAATCTGAAAAAAGCAATAGCGCCCTCACCTTTCACCCGATCCACCAGAAAATTACCCCAGACTTTTGCCTTCCTTAGCTAATTAGATATCGACGACGAAATATGAACATTGATAAGTCGACTCAGCTATCGTCCGATTGCCTGGAACAGATATTCGCACATTTCAAGCACGACAAAGCGTCCCTCTATACGCTAGCTAGAGTCTGCCGTCATTGGTGTCGTCTCATTGTTACCTCACTCTGGGCTCATCCTTTCAAAACTGTCGCCAAAGATGGATCTGTATCGATAATTCGAGCCTATGTTGCATGTCTTCCGACAAATGAAAGGCAGCGACTAGCAGACGAGGGAATTAATGTCGAAAAATCCACCACGTCTCTATTCAACTATCCAAAATATCTTCGAAATTTTGAATCCCACCTAATTCGATTGGCCATCGAGAAATGGCTACAATCTTTGGGCAACACGAGGAGACTGAAGGAGAAAACTCGGATCACCTATCAATATATCACCAATTTGATCTTTAGTAGCTGTAGCTATCTCCGAGGATTGACATACGACTGGAAAGAGGAATTTAACACCATTCAATTACTGGATATCACCAAATTCGCCGGATTTCATCAGGCGATCCGCAATCTCAGGACATTCAAACTTGACTATCATTGTTTCCCCACAAAGGCCACTCACAATCTTCTTGATATCATCTCACAGAACACTCAAAACATCCATAGTCTTTTGATTAGTACAAATTGGTATGTTCGTCCGGAGATCATTTTACGATTCTTGAAATCTCAACACAACATCAAGGTCCTCACCGTTGACGTTAACCTAGAACACAATCCCGAGTTATTATACATGGCAATTCGGCATCACGCTCATTCGCTCACTCACCTGAAACTAGAAGGGATGAATGAATTTGAGCAGTTATTGAAACTTTTGGTTGCATGCAAGCACCTGGAGACACTGGAGATCCTCGAATTCGATCCTGAACTTATTCCAGATCTTGAGAAACACCCAATACCCCAGATCAACATCAAAAACCTTTACTGTTCACCAATCACAAGTGACGGAAAAGTCGGCATAACCAGTCAGGTGCAAATCAAATCAATCGCATATCTCCTCGAGATGTCCAATCTCAACCTCCGAACCTTCACATACCTGGCCTGCGGTCCACCGGAACTCATGAAAGTCATCAAGAACCGCTGTCCGCACATCACTCATCTATCACTAACCATTCAAAACGAGGATTTCAACGAACTTTGTATTCTCCTGTCAAATCTGGGGAAATTAGAAAATTTTGTGTTGAGTGTTCTTCCAGATTTCGGCAGCATCCCCACATATATTATTCAAAAGTTAGCAATTTCAATTCCACCCACCCTGCACACGTTGGGACTTAATTTATTATTCACGGTCGAGAGTCTGAAAATTTTGTTGAATGAGTGTAACGGCACTATCAGAGCATTGACCATGTATCAACATAGCATAGAAAATACGCACTTGGAGGTTATTTCCAAGTATTCCGAGGACAACAACGGATGCTTAAAGGAGTTTAGATGTCTATCTCATTCCATAGGAAATCAGGAGATTGCAAAGTCGACGATTCCAATTGTCGGCGATGTCAAACCACCTTATGATCCTTTCTACGATAGACCGATCTTTTTGTGAAATTAGGAAGCGTAATCTAGGAGTTTTGATATTATCGGTAATGATTCCAAATTTGAACTTGAACAAACTAGCAACTAGATGACAAAGAAAGTAGTGTGGACTACATGCACTTATTCACTTTACCACCTTATGTATATACGTATATATGATATATACATGTATATAAACAAATAGATGATGCTCGGTAAATCGCGCAATTAACCTGCTATTTAACCTTTCACGTTCATATTTTCCAAAAAAAAAAATGGTACACAAATCACGTCCCAACACGCGATATCTCGGAATTTATACAGTATATGTGAATGATTTAAACTCGAGTAAAAAAACGATTTTTTCTTTAATCAGGAGCTTTGCTGTGACGAACAAAATCAATTAACCATATCTTTATCTATTGACCAAATCATTCTGATCATGACATCAACTTCAACTAACACTAATACACAAGTCGAAGAATATGTTCAATATTTTGATTAAAATTTGCTTGAGCCAATCTGAAGTCACTTGTGCTGTAATTACCTGAAGTGAATCTATTGGTCACAATTATCAGTAAACATGATAGAAATGAGCAAATTATACTTAAAGTTTGTTTGTTGTACATTTTTTTAAGATGCGCTTTGAATCAACGCCCTTTACATGATATGTAATGTAGTATCACAATACCTTTTTTGAAACTCATTAACCAAGAAAGCATTGGATCGAAAAAGTTTCGTTGTTGTTGTTGTCTTCAATTCATTGTCATGACTTGAATCGTTCATCAACAATGGAAAAAAATTTTTTTTTGTTTCTGTTTTTTTTTTGTTTTTTTTTTTTTTTTTTTATTTGGGTATCAAAGAGAAAAAGATTAGAAAATAAAATAAGTTTCTTCAACCATTGTTCTAAAAGTTACGCCACATTTTTGCTACTAAACATTTCCCAAATTTGTCCGTTTTTCTACATTATTATTTTTCATCATTTGCATTTCCCAATTTTTTTTTTTTTTCAGCTTTCATTCTGAAAACGCATTTTCCTCTACTTCTGGTATCACCTGATTTCCAACCGTCAAAACAACGCCCTTTTGCTCATTATACTCCACAACATTGTTCTCGATCACAGAAACTTTCTTTATGCTCTCATTTTCCTTTATGATTATGGTCTCATCATCCTCGAGTTCTCCACTGCTACCACCTATTATATCGTTCCAACTTTTTGGCCTTGGTTGCATATCCATAATTTGTACCTCGTACGGATAGTGTCCAAAATCATTATGCGATATACCTCTCCTCAGAACTCTTGCATTGTATCTCAATAACGTCTCGTCTTGTTCCGACACGTCAAGTCTCGGGACGTATGTGTCCGAATCGTGATCCATAGTCTCGTGACTAAATTTGATACTCATTTTTTCGGCAATTTTTGAGTCATTCATGGTCTGCGTCGATTCATCGGACGGATGCAATGTGCTCCCTAAACTTTTATCATCATCTCCGAGCTTTTCCAGATGATACATCTTCTTCTTGTTTTTGACCGACTTCCACACAATCATTATTATGATTTGCAATATCGTTATAATACATGATATTAAAGCCAATAGTGCGATCAGGTCGTATTGAATTGTTGATGTCAGGTAGAGCAGCTTTTAAAAAAAACAAACAAGAGTTTTCAACATCAAATGCAAAGGAAACTATGGATTGACAAAATGAAATAAAAAAGAATGCTCACCTGAACGATAAGCTGTGGTATGTCTTCGATAAGGAATGCAAAGATGACAGACCAGAATATCAGATTTTCGGATTTTGACGAGAGTGGGGCACGCAGAACATCGAATCTTGCGATTCTGGAATTGATTATTTTCAAGCATTCAACGCGAATCGGCGATAGTGGAATGATGATCGCAAAAACCTGTGGGAACTCTGTGAGCCATGAGTAAAATAACGAATTCTTGTAAAACTCTCGGTAAATTATTACGGATGATAGGATCACGTTTGAGACCTTTGGTACTATAAATAACATAAGACTGAGAAGATATTGGAATGTCAAATTTTGGAAAATTGTCGTTTGCGAACGTAATCATGAAAACATACGTGGGAACCCAAAGATTTTCGACGGTGCGACCATCTTTCAGGAGGAATGTGAGGTCTATGCAAAAATCAAAAACAAACAATGTAGTACGGAGGATGATCAGATTGTTCCCCTGTCGGACAAAAAATAAATAATAAATAAACATAAATAATACGTATAACTGAAAATAAAAATAATAAAATCGTTACATTGTAGTATTTTAATTGCACGTATGTGAATATTAGTGTAATAATTATTAAACCCGCCCCTGTGGCAATTAAATAAAATTTATATGTCTTCCATGGGTGTCCTGCATGTCGAAATTTTGTTAACAGCCAATTACAGAGCCCTAGTAAAAAAGTGAAATCTTCTCAAAACTTGCCTATCTCCTGAAATCCATAGGTCTCATCTAACATCGAAGTGAGATCGTTTTGAGAAACCGCAGTGATCCATTTGTTCCTTATCAAGGTATCTAAGTCGTTGATGACGCGCGGAACGTTAGGTCCGGTGTCATTCGAATCAGGTGATATTTTGAAAGAAAACATGATCTGTGATCCCGAATAGCCGGCAGACATTTGGTATTTTTCATTGGGTGATAGGCGATCGGCTTTTACTGGAGCAATGGCGGAAAGTTGGTCGCGCAATTTTAACAGAAATGCATTTTTTTCTATGGACGATAGAGTCTGAAAATACTTTGTTCCAGACGCGGTGAGACGCACAAGTCCACTTTTTTGATCTGTGGGGGATTTTCGCCGGTTATTAAATTTACATCATTAATGTGATTTAGCACGAGTCACGTTACCTGAATGCAAATCAACGATGGTTTCTATAACAAGAAAAGGTGTTGTGTGAGTAGATTTTGACAACGAAAAGGTAATCGCAGGTCAACCGACCTGTTTGAAAATTCCAAAAATCTGGGGGGACACCAATCAGAGGTCTACGTGATTCGGCAGAAATTGTAAAGTTATCATCCACTGTTACATAATAAACGGCACCCGGTCGATTGAAAGTACTTTCTAACGTGTTCAACATTAATGTGGTGTTGTCTAATTCACTGAGATAACAACGACCCGACTGCCCAGAATATACCTCCCTAAGAATAAGACCCGAATTTATGTCACCTTTCATGTATATGGATACATTTTTCTCCGAAAGTTGCACAGGGATGTTAAACTTTATGGATAAAAGGGTTGTTCCGATCTTGGTCGTCCCGCGTATCGACGGAGTCGTGCTCAAGACGGTTGGATTATAGTAGCCATGGTCTACAAAGTAAATTTTCAGTAACCGTTAAAAGAGAAGAAATAGAAGCACCAAAAGGGAACGCTTATTTTTGGCATACCACTGCTGGTGAAATTCGATAACTCGGTGGAAAATAGATTCCACGCCGAAGAGGTGGCATAATCTCTTGTCACCGCCACGACAGTGTTATTTTTGAAAACGCCATGCCTTCGTCCGGTGCCTTCGACGGTCAAACTTGGTAGCTTCCACATCACATTTTTGCCTTGACTGTCAAACAAATATCCGTTGACCACACCGGAAGTGTCCTCGGTAACAAAGAGATAACCTGAAAAAATTATTCATTGATTAATCCTGTGAAATCAAGTTATGTGAAGGTACTGCCTGAATACTTGCCTCCTAAAAAGAGAGGTTCCGTGAATGTGTAAACTACATTTGCGAGATTAATGTCCAATTGCTGACTCGAGTTGGAAATCCTGCGCATAAATAAATTTTCTCGTTTTATCACACGAACATCGTGAAGACCTGCGACGAGACGTGTAAACAAATGATAATTACCCCGACGGAAGAAAAGTGAGTTCTATTCCGAAAACAGTTTTTTGAAACCCTGTGGCAACCACAAAGCAAACCTGTCCCTGACTATTGTAATCTACAGCGCAAGAAATATCGCTCACATCCAGAGATGTAAATGAATTACTGTACACTAGATGAGTATCTGAAACCGTTCCGGTGACTGGCTGAATGAATATTGCGTACATGGATAATTGCGTTTCGGTCGAAGAATGATCATTGCTGGTGTAGGCTATGATAATACCGTATCCACCATCGATGGTGTGAAAGGGTTGCAGATATGCATCATCCCCAAGACTTTGCACAGAAATGCTTCCACCATTCACCAAATCAAATTTTCCTTGTGCATCCCTAATTGACGATGGTATGTAGAAACGTTATTCATGAACACATGACCAAAAGTTGGATGTGAATTGACCGGACTCACGGTGCATTATAAAAAAACCAGTCGACTTTATTCGATCCCATTCTTAACTCCGAGCGAAACATCCCACTCAGGGGGTTGAATTTGGATATCTCGATTTTATTAGGATACATCAGCTTGGTACCATTGACGTAACCTGCGCCAATATAATTATTCCTTTGCAGAATTAGAATCGTCCGAGACACGGGGTTAGATAATAATTGAACAAACTTTAATCTGAATAATAATAATAATCAAGATGGGGTTCTCCATAATTACCAAAGAATATTTCCCTCAAACGAGATCGTCAAACCATATACCGACGGATTCTGGGTTACGTCCGAAGTGTTAAAATAGGTGACCAAGAGAATGCCATCTACCGAAGAGTAAACCCTGAGGCCATAACTCGAAGGATTCCTTCTTCCATAATCACCCAGGCAAAAATTGAAATCCGGAATTTGCGTGGGAATGTCAGATGATGTCATCTCGCCGTTGGGGTGAACCACCCTTACATGGAGAATTGGCTCCACGCAAGTGTCATTGATGCTTTTGCTCAGAAGAACGACGGTCGTCCCGTCTCGATACGTTTCCACCTCATATATCCGAAATGACGTGTCCGGTTCATTGAATACAAGTCTATTGTAATCGTCCGCAGTGGTAAAGTCTAAATTTATGATAAATAAAATAAATAATATTATTATGAAGAGGGAATCTGATGATTTATCATACATGATTGAGACTATTTTTTTTTTTTTTTTATAATTTTTTTTGATAGCATGGGAGTCAAGGATGTATTATTATTATTATTATTATTATTGTGCTTGGTGAGGAGAGAAGCAAGGAAAACCCCTTGGGGAGAGGGATCATTCCCGGGTGCGTAAATTAAAATTAACCAATTTCCGTATTAGTCGATTCGATCACATACTAAGTACCAGAGGATTCACCCGGTTGTAGAACTTGTTTCCTCCAAAAATGGTAAAGTCGTTATATTATCCACATACAGTACGTACTATGAATAACTGTTTTGCGTACACCTTGATCGTAAAGCATGACTTTTCGAAAAAAGTATGCAATAATCTGCATGTAATTTCTCATTGACTATAGGATTCGGGTTCTATTAAAAGAATTATCGTGCCTGATTACCAAATTAGCTGTTGCCTCGGTTAAACGGGTCGATCCATTGTCAGACAGTACATCTGATGACAAGCGCATGTAGTAATTCGTGCGTACGCACGTACGCATGCGAGTATCTTTCAAATCGAAAAAGGGTTCAATTCAAAAAATAACACGATAGACTTCGCTCTGGACTGATTTCATGTGATTGACTCGGATGTCTGGCACTTTATTGTACAACGCACGTTCAACTTTCGGATTAACTTTTGAGGCTTTTTTTGGTCATGAAATCATTTAACTGACTGATATTACAAACACTGCGAAATGTTAAGTTTAGATTTTAAAATTTCGGGCCAGCGCAAATCCAACGTAATCAAAGTCAATCAATTATGACGAGATCGATAATAAAACAATGTTTTCACCTAATCAATAATAAAACAATGTTTTCTCTTAAGCGTGATAAACCGTTTTCCTTCGCACGATCAAAAGAATGATGAGCTTAAAAAATGTTATAAAGCCAGAGGTAACATCAACCTTCTAAAATTCTCGCACCATGATGACACACAAAGTCTCCACCACACTCTATGCCCTTCTCACATTCTTGATTCTAATATTCCACGCCTCGCATGCCCTCGATAGTCAATTGGTCCCTCCAAAAGATGGATACACGCTCAAAGAAATTTCCTACAAAGATCTCCCCGAGCGAGGATATATCCACGAGTATGTACCAAAAGAACCTGGTGAGAAGTTGCCGTCAGCGAAAGGTTCATCTGTCAACGAGGAATTGAAGGAGAGCGGTTTGACAAATATTCAATTCCTTCCTGACGCTTTTGAAATGGATGAGACGGACGAATCGGATGCGTCGGGTGATGTGGACGCTTCCTTCCGCCGCTTTGGATTCTCAAGGTTTGGATTCTCGAGATTTGGATACGGGGGAAGATTTTACTGGCCTTACCGTCGAATGGCTTTTATGAGACAACCTTTCCTTCCACCATATTTTTACGGAAGAAGATTTTTTAGCTATTGTAATCCAATGTTTGGTTGTCGATATGTTTATATCTGAGCATTTTTACTCTAGTTCTAAATTTGGAAATCTGACGCTGCACATGTTCTCGATTGGGTGTGAATGAACTTCTCATTATTGTTAGAAAAAAAAGGACGTCACACCTCGAATGGCTTACAATGTCATAAGAATCAAATAAAAGAAATAAAACCGAAATTTTCTGTGTCCTCATGATCATGTACAAAATTTATTTTGGTTTCAATCACTCTTTTAACAGATATTAATAAAAGAGGTTGAAAAAAGTAATGTTGATGCGAAAATCATGAATTCATTCCTGATATGGTAAGGTGTAAGGGATCTTGGTATGGTGGATTATACGAAACTTTGGTATGGTTAAGTACGGAGACATGATCGTTTCAAAATTTCGTATATCTCTCCACATTTACCTTGAGAGCGAAATTAATTGTAACACGGTGAATTCTAATTAGTGGAGCGAAGAAACAAAATGAGTGTTCTTTAACCTCTAATTGTATTTAGTTTCACGATAAAACCCGCACGCAACCATCATAAATATAGGGTGCATCGGTTAATTAGATTCTGTCTTGATTTAAAAAAAAGATGGGCAACCTTTTGTTTCCAGCATCTGTACTAGCAACAACACCTATCCGTGTATTTATATTTTGATCTAAACTCGTCAATTGGTGCTTACCATTTAACCTCTAAGATGGGGTGAGTGTGCACCCTCGAAAATTCGAAGAAACGGTTTACTAATTAATGCGAACGTTATTGAAACATCGATAGCGTGTAGCGCTATTTCATTGAAACAAATTTCCAATCACACTGTACGTGATGCCAATCCCTATATATGACCTGAAATTTTCTATAAAGGCATATTTCAAGCCATCACGTCGCCTGTCGTGATATTCCTTATACCTTTTTCTCCCTTGAATTTCATAAACATTCTTTTTGATTCTCAATAAAAAATAACAAGATGAAATTCAACATCGTAGCATTCGCCCTTACCTTAGTTTCCATCTTATTGCTTACATCAAACTCTGCGCAGGCCTGTGAAGCGAGCTGCCAGGTCGGCATTAGCAAAGCTTTTTCGGATGCCTACACCATCGAAATCGACTCCATCTTTTCGAAATTCGTAAAAGACCTCTCAACCTCCTCCCTATTCGATGGTGTTAAGATTCACACTTCATTAAAAGCCAAAATCGTAGATGCCATCACGTCTTCCATCAAAAATCAGAAAAATAATTTTGAAGGGAATCTGGTTGATCTGGTGAAAAATTCCATTTTCAATGAGAAACCTCGGTTCAAAGGTCAATGTCAGAATCCATTAAGGGTCGTACAGCCACCTGCAGGTGTTAACTGGACCCTTACTGATTGCGAGAAGCAAGATTACATTTGCGGTAATCCTCCGGCCATATGTCATTTCATGAACGGAATTGTTAAACCGAGAAATGTGAACGACATCAACAGTGCCTTTGCCAGTATGGTGAATTCTGCAAGCTTTTTGGATACGGTTAAGAAGGGAATTGAATCGGCCGCCAGCAACGGTGGATTGAAGGGGAAGGATTTGGATAACGCTGTTAATGGAATTACAAATAATTTCCAAAAAACTCTACCAGGGTTCAATAAAACTTTTGTTGAAGACTTTTGCGCTGGGATTAAAGGTCGTAACGCAACCACCTGCGACAAATACGACGATAACATCAAATCGATCTTGTTGTCGTTCCCCTAGACATCTTAATAAAAATATCGTATTTGTCTTTCACTGCATATACTGTACGTAGATGTTCGATCATATACAATAATTATTTAATAAATTTTCCACATAGAAATTTATGCTAATAGATTCGTGTGTTACTACTGCATTTACCGATCAAACAATGTCGAAATCCAATCACATACATTACAGTAAATGTTTATAAAAATTTTATTTATTTATTTTTTTGGAAATTTGTATAAATATTTAAAAATAGAATTGCACAAGCATCACCTTATTAAAATTCAATTTTCTCTTATACTGTATACTGTTGCGTGACACTTTTTTACTTGTTTCTCGTGGCGTTTATTTGACCGAGTTAACACAAGGATTCCCTTTGTTCTTTCTTTGATATGACAACCTTTTCTATCTCAATGCGTGTTTTTGTACGATGCTATTAAGAACAAGGTCTAAAATTTTCTGTTGTAAAAAAGTTCAAAGTCTAATGACTATGTGAATCTATATTTAAAAAATTATACTGTATAGCTTAACCACATGCGTATTTTATTCCCGACCACATTCATTACCGGAGCTAATATTATCACTAACAACATACAGTATATATTATATAACCTGAATATTTTTTAATTAAATATAATGTACTTGCATTATATAGTGTGGTGAAAAAACAAAAAAAAAGATTGAAAATGTGATTTCGTATCAAAATAACTTATTCTTGAAATTATTTTGATATATTGTATTACTGTATTAAGTTGTAATCATGGATTTTATCATTGTTTGCCAATACTCCAGCATATGTTAATCGTATTGGAAAAGTATGCCAGATTTGATAAGAGATGTGATATTTGATTGCACTACATCACTTAAGTGAATATTTTTGAAATTAAGTTTGTTCTTTTTTGCCTATAATGCTTACATATAATACTTGTTATAACAGAAAATGTTTAAAGCGAAAAAGGACAAAATGTATTAAAAACAAAACATTTCAAATTTTTCTTTTTTTTAAAAAAAAAATTTTGTTGCCAAAAAAAAAAATTTTGAAAATTGAGATGTGTTTGGAAAAGAATTGTTTTTTTTGAATAAAATTTTTTAAAAATTGTATATATTTATTTAAGATTGTAATTACCAAATTAAATTATTTGAATGACTTGAAAATATTAAAAATATTATAATAAGCTATTTCAAAACCATTTTAAAATATTTATAATAATTGAAATATTATAATACTCAAATTATAATAATAATAATAATAATAATAATAATAATAATAATAATAATAATAATAATAATAATAATAATAATAATAATAAT